ACGGGATTCGGACCAGGTGGGGGTAGGTACCCATCAGAGCCTTGCAGAACGGGGTTCGGACCAGGTGGGGGTAAGTACCCATCAGAATCTTGCAAAACGGAATTCGGACCAAGTGGGGGTAGGTACCCATCAGAGCCTTGCAGAACGGGGTTCGGACCGGATGGGGGTAGGTACCCATCAGAATCTTGCAGAACGGGATTCGGACCAGGTGGGGGTAGGTACCCATCAGAGCCTTGCAGAACGGGGTTCGGACCAGGTGGGGGTAGGTACCCATCAAAACCTTGCAGAACAAGGTTCATACCAAGTAGGGGTAGGTACTCACTAAAATCCAGCAAAATGCAAACCCGTACCGGGTGAGGGTAAGTACTCACCAGAGCCTTATAAAAAGAAGGCTCAAACCAGATAGGGGTTGGTACCTATCAAAATACTTATTATCCGGAGGATCAACAAGAAACAACATCCAAAAGATAACCGGGCAAAAGGGTTAACTCCTTCCCCTACCAACTAATTTGGTCGGCATATTAAAACCGACGAATTAGTTAGGCAGGCGAAGGGGGAGCAGCTGTAGACCCCTAATTTGGCCCGGCCTCTCAAAATAAAAGCTAGAGGAATTTCACCCAAAGATGGAGTTCATCCGGCTTCCCAAAACCGAGAAGGACCTCCCACAACAGAAGACGGAGTTCACTCATTCACACAATAAAAGCCAAAAGAGACTTCCTACACAAAGACAAAGCTCGCCCGGCATCTTAATGAAGGCCAAGAAGACTTCCTATATGAAGATAAAGCTTCAACGGACACACATCGGCATCAATCTATGTCCGAAAAAGGAAAGGAAAGCTTCCCGGGGTCCCAAAACACGAAAACTGGACAAAACAGGCCGAGACCACGGTCCCAGAAGTGGGACGGCCGTCCCAACTGCTATTTTACAGTTGGGACGCGCGTCCCGAATGTGGGACGGCCGTCCCGGCTTCCCTGGGGGTCCCGCTCTGTGTAAATTTGCCATTTGGGACGGCCATCCCAGTCTAGACGGCCGTCCCAACCCAGACGGCCGTCCCAAAGTGCGCCAGCTGCGAAAAACTATAAATAGGAGGCTCATTTGCCACTTTTTCACACCACAGACACTCCAGAGAGCTCTGAAACACTTTAGAGCACTTGTCTACTTCTCTCCCTTTCTCGAATGATCTTTCCGATTGCTTTAAATAGGTAACAATCGGTTAAGGAATGATATTCCGGCATTCGATTCTTCTTTAAATTTTTAGTGGAGTCGATCTTGTATTGGTGAGGAGAGACTGTGTAGAGAGAGGGTTGCCAAAACGCATCCTCACAGGTTCGAGATTCTCAATATAAAGCTTGCTACGGAGGTTCTTTTCAATTCCCTTCTCTTTTATTGTTTTATTTATTGTTTTATTGTTTTATTTAGCTTTATTATGTCATGTAGAATAGAATCATGTAGATAGTCATTTTAATATCTCTTTTATTGCTTTATTTAGCTTTATTTATATAAAATTATGTAGATAGTAATTTCAATATTATGCAATAAAATAGGGTAATCGCGTAATTTCTCGAAATCTTCTCTTTAAATGAATTGATCTGTCATAGGGAACCCGAAAGGGGCGTCGTGGGGTGCTAACACCTTCCCCATACGTAACTAACTCCCTTACCCAACTCTGGTTATAACGGCCAAGTTGTTTATTTTATAAAATCAACGCCTTTCTTTCTTTTTTCCTTTTCCAATGTTTCTGGTCAAAATATTGGTGGCGACTCCATAAGAACCCCTTTTCGAAAACCTTGCTTTTATTAGAGGATAATTCAATTGTCAAACACCTCGGAAGCAATGAACACAGTTTAAAACAAATACGCGAGTCTAAACCATCTTTTCGCGACCGCTCGCATAAACGTTTCGAGACGTCCTCCGACGTCGGAAAGGGACGGCGGCGACAAGGAGGGCTCAAATTCACATCCAAACACTTCCAAACTTTGAATCAAAGCATTCTTCACACATTCTAAGCTCTCTTATCTCTTCAAAGCCTTCTTCTCTTCAAAACCTCCTTATCTTCCTCTCTTTTCATTCTAACTGACTTCATCTTCCCGTAGAAAGATTCCAACAAGGAGAAGATCCGCTCCTACTTCTCATCTCCACCCTAATTCCATTGAAGGGTGGATATCTGATGAAGAGGGAAGACAAGAATTTCTGAATTTCTGGAAAGAAAGGGGTATTATTACTCTTAAATTTATTGTTGGCGAGCAATTCATAAATAATGGATCAACTTTCCCAATCTACTTGAGCAACAAGGTGTTCTTCCTTTCATCGAAATGCAAGGTACATACTATTCGGATTTAGTTCGGGTTTTCTACTCCTGTTTCAAATATAGGGATCATATTGCTACTTCTAGAGTCAAGGGTGTAACCATCATCCTTGATGATGATATTTGGGAAAATGTTGCTCATTTTCCTTTAAGGGAGGATGCTGTAAATGTTCTCGCTGATTTAGAGGATTTTAATCGCATTCTGGCATACCGTTCTTTTCTTTGCAATCCTGTCATGGAAATTGGCTGACAACTTTTGGCCGGACCTTTGAAAAAAGAAGAACCCATGTTGCTGCATCTTATTGTATAGATTTTGTGTCCTCGGGCAACCAACCATGCACAATGTTCTTCTGCTGACCTTCGCATTATTCACACCATCATGAATAATGAGCCAATTGATTGGTCAAGCCTTGTCACATTGACAATGCTCAAGGCGAAGCATTACCCAACCTTCAAGATTCCTTACGCTCTTCTCATCTCCAGGATTCTTGAATACAAAGGTATCAATGTTGAAGGGGAACAACAAGCTTGGACACTTAATTCAAACAAAATGTTGGACAACACGCTCACTCAGCTGCAAATGGTGAACGTTAATGGAGTTTATGTTCATAAAGATGATGCTCCTCACATGGCTAACATGGCTCAAGATTCTGATGATGAGGACATGCCTGCTGATAATGTTCATACTGCTGGAACTTCATCTGCTGCTCACCCTACATCCCGCCCTTCCTTGGAAGACATGTTGTTCGACATGAATCAAAGAATGCAGAAATTCTTCTCTATATCTCAAGAACGATATCAAGAAATTATCAGACGAATTTCGGATGTAGACGATCGGGTGTGTAATTTAGAAGACAGATTTGACGTGCAGTTTAATAGTGATGAGAGTGAAGAGTTCTAATCTCTTCAAATATTTCTTGTTTGTACTACATTGCTTTAATGAATAAAATTTTACTTTTGCATTGACTGAGGGGGAGTTGTTTTCTATCTTATGAACTTATTGAGGGGAGCTTTCGTTTTTTATTATAATCAAAATAAGGGGAGAAATTATTTAAAGCCTCTTATGTTTAATAATTTTAATGATGTCTGGTATGTTTAATAGTTTTGTTAGTTGTGACAGATAAAACAAGTTATTACAAAGGGCTTTAAAGCAAATTTTGATCATCACAAAAAGGGGGAGATTGTTAAACATATAAGGATATGAAGCTTGAATATTTTGATGATGATTCAAGAACAAAGGACTTAAAGACTTGAAGAATTTGAATCATGTGTATTTTACTTGTAATAACTCTGTTTTATGTTTTTGAGTCTATATAATTAGAGTACAAGATAGCTAGCATATAGTTCATCATTTGAAAACTCATTTTTATCAAATCCACTCTGTTATAATCGATTATCACTCAGGATAATTGATTATCCTGTACTGAAAATCATTTTTCTGAAAAGCTTGTTGTGATAATTGATTATCACTCAGGATAATCGATTATCCCAGCCAAATAATCGATTATTTACACAAATAATCGATTATCCTGGTCCTATTTTACTCCTCTGCGAAAATGACTCTGTAATAATCGATTATCACTCAAGATAATCGATTATCTACGTCTGTTATGAGTTTTGAAATTCAAATTTGGACCAATTTACGAAAACTCTATTCTCAATTCTTATGTTTTCGAAAATTATCATTTCTCATACCCTATTCTCTCTACTTAAGGTTCTCTAAGGCTCTCTGCAAATAAACAAACATTTTTCATACAAAAGTTAAGAGTTGTGACTGCTAGAGAACTTTCTGTAAGGAAGAAAAAGGGGCTTTTGAAAACCTAGTGTGGGCTAGAAGTGATAAGAATCACTGAGTAGGTTTCTTGGTGGATTGTGTGTTGTGTGTTGTGCCGTCTCTAGAAAAAGTTGTTGTTCATCCTTTGTGGATTCAAATGAGGTGTTCATCTCTTGTGTGACTCAAGAGAGGTGTTTTCTATTCCTTATCTTTTTAATTTGTAATCTGTTGTAAACTGTGATTATAGTGACAGCGTTAATCCTCTTTTTGAGTGATTAGCAACTGGACGTAGGATCTTTTTATCTGAACCAGTATAAATCAACTTTGTAATCTTATTTCCCTTATCTCTTTACTTTACAAACCATTTTAATCGGTGAAATTTGGGAAAAATTTCAAAACCCTAATTTTTGTTTAAGAAACCAATTCACCCCCCTCTTGGTTTTTGTCCCTAAATGCGAACATTCCGCTGCGCGATTCTAACAGAAAGAGGTGGACAAGTAGGAGAATATTTGTATAAAGAAGATAGTAATTGATCTTGGAAGTGCTACAAAATATGAAGAAGTTCGTATTAGTTTTTGCTTGATCCACCACCTCCTAAGTAGTATACAATATTCTAGATACTTTTAGATTTTCTTAATTCTATAATTATTTATCTTCTAATTTCAAATATTTCTAAAATATTCTAATAATTCTAGATATTACTCATATAAAGTTTCTAATTGTAATAGTATCTAGGACTTTATTTTCTAGATCTTTCTAGAATTTGCATCACTTTTAACACTTGTTGCATTCAGATTATATCAAAATTCATTTTCCACCAAGGTATGAAATGATAGCACTAGAATAATGAATGCCACACAATTTTCAACATTATCCACTTGCATCCACTTGTTTGCTGTGGTATAGCTTCCAAAGAGTCACTAAACATAATTGAGAACATCTTTGAGGACAAAGACCATAAGCAATGCTATTAGGTACATGAGGTATGCAGGGAAGGATGTCCAAAGAGGAAAAATGGGACGAAATCTAGCAGTGAGGCCCATTACTGCACAAACTATTGCCACAACCAGTACATCAGCTGAGAATTGCCAAGTGATCTCACGCATGTATATGAGAATAGAGATCACCACAAAGCCAAGAATGTTGTTCATGAACACTGCTCCATAAATCTGCATGCACCCAAATCTTCATATAAGTATCCGAATACCTATCAATCACTTATGCTATAATTTGCTTCTCTTGTTCACGTGTCTATATCCAATTTGTATCACCATGTCTTATACGTATCTATCTACATGTATTGTATTTGTGCATCACATAGTAGCATGGTGAAGAAGCTGTGGCAGACTTGACTATTGATTTTGGAGGGTCAAATAATATATTATTAATAAAATTATAAATATATAAGTAAATATGTTAAATGATTATAAAGTTTGGGGACTACAATCATAAATGATATAAGAGTTATAAAACTGAGAGGAGACTGAAAGGATAAAATTGTAAATATATAAAATAATCATTAAGTTTGGGGAGTCAAAATCATAAATTATTTTAGAGTTACAAAACTTTGAGAGGGTCACGCCCCCTTCAGTTCCCAAGAACAAGCACAAGAAGATGATGACTAACCTCATACATTGTCTGAGAAGTGTTACTGCTCTTCTTATGGCTAGCTTCTTTGATTGCTGATGTTGCTTCTCTAAAATTTGTTGCCAGGGGGACTAAAATGAATGAGATAAAAAATGATGAAATTCGTGCTTTTTCAGAGAATTTTTGAACACTTGCTATTAAGGGCTCTGCAAGAAGAGACAGGATAGTAACTCCCAAGACCACATATCCTATAGCGGTCAACCATGCAGAAGCCCCTTTGGTCTGATTCTCTTCCATTACCTTTTCAACATCTTCCCAGGTCTAATACACAATCATTAGAGACCATATGTAAATTTATATTATTGATTAAGTGTTTGGCCTATAAGAAGGAAGAAAATTGAAATTAATAAATTTTTTGAGTAATGGAAGAATGGAATACTTGATGAATTGCCTGAGATGAAGGTTTTGAGTTAGCAGCTTGGCTGGAATTTGAGGTTATCCATTTTGTAAAACCTTCTGTAAACTCGGTCTCACTAATTTCATCGTCTTGATTGATATCAAGATCTTGAGCAAGTTTTGTAACTGCCTCCTCAGCATCTACAACCTTGCTAAACTGGATGCCCTTGACTATTTTTTTTAATTCAGACCTTGAAATGTGGCTATCCCCATTAACATCAATTTCCTCAAACAACCTGTTGCATCAGTGTCCACATACCATGCAAAAATAGTCAAAAGAACATATAGCAGTTTACTGTGATTATGAGCAATATTAGCTTTAGATTTGAATATTTAATATCAGTAATTATGATATTTGTTTCTTGTCACAGCTGAACTCGGTGAACATCTAATTAATTTAGTTGTACTACTTAATTGAAGTTTCCCTAACATACCAGCAGGAAAAATGAGATTAAACAAATTCTTCGTAAATGATTGGTATAATTCTACATAAAGACGATTAATACAGTTTTCTTAACTGCATCAATCATTTAAGATGGCATTGTTTAACTCCATAATTACGTGGTAAGTTTCACAACCCGAATTTATAGTAGATATGGCAAACAAGATCAATATGTGGACCTTCTGATTGCAGTTTTGTCAGGTGTGCCATCATCTTTTCGCAGCTTGCCAACCATATCATTCTGAGCATGCTTTAGGACTTCGGATATAAGATGTCCCTTCAATTCACGTTCCTTTCTCACGTGTTCAATCCATGGCTTGATAAAAGTCTGTTCAGAAAACAACAGAAAGAATATGCTCAGTTAGCAGGGTGAAAATTACTTGGGATGATAAGAAAAGAATAAAACCCCAATGCAAACAATGTCAAAAAAGTTAATGTCCTGCGTTTAATAAAGAAATGTTACTTGCACAACAAATTTCACAACTAAGAGAGAAAGAAAGAGAAAACGTATGAGATGCAATAAGAAAGATTGAGGCAGAAAATGTTGTTGAATGAATTACACATAACTTCAATAAATATCATAAAGTTTTGCTAGGAAACTATCATTTAAGTAAAAGTGTGGCAATCAAGTCACATGTTGCATTACATTATTTACCTGATACATTTTGTTCAGAGATTCTTTTGGAAGGTATTGTCTATCCAAGGCATGCTTTGTTTGGTTAATGTATTCTGTTAAACCAGTGACAAACTCTTCCTTGGTTATAATTTGGTCACCATTTCGGTCAAAAACTTTTAACAAGTCTGCTATCTGTTCCTCTTTGATATCTGTGTCAGTTAATTTGTTCCCAAACAATAGCTCTTTCACTTCGGAGGCCAACAAGTCCTTGCTCCCGTGCTGACTAATTTCATGATACAACCTGCTTGACAAGTATCATCAGTTATGTACACAATAACTGTTTAGAAAGCTAACAAATATGTTTAATCTGTTGAGAAATGTTTCATGAAGTCTCACTCACCCACTTATTGCAGCCACATTGGGAGTTCCATCCTCGGCCAGGATCTTTTGCAGAGTTTGTTTCTCAACACGTTGAAAAATTCTTAATATTAAGTCATCATGCTTAATATACTCCAGTCTAGTTTTTTCTATTTGAGGTTTAAAGACCTGAAGATTCATTGGTGAAAAATATAAATGTTATTTGGCATTGGAAAAAAAATATCAAGTAAGAGAAACTTGAAAGTCTATAAATTACTGAGTAATTGTTTAGTGCTTTCTTATTTAACCCAATACCATGATATTTTAAGGATCAACTCGGTTACTCAAAGCAAATAGAAAGTGTTGGATGAAAGGAAAACCTGGTAAATGAAGTATGAGATAAGAAAAGTAACAGCTACTGTAAGAGCAACCATCAGGGTCACATTGCGTGATGTAGAAGAGAAGTGGAACAAATGGGGAATCTGCATTATGATGAGTGGTATAACTGAGCAAACCATGATTATTGCCATCTCTCTAGTATCTGCATCCATAGTGATACCATAACCTATAAATTCATCAAAAGAAGACTGTAAATGAAGGGAATGAGCTCCACATTAAACATCAAAATCAATCAAATATAAAGCAGTTAAGGTAATGCTAGAAAAACATGAAACTTCAAAGGGAAGTTTCAACTGCAAAAATTTGTTTTTTAAATGGAGGGAAAGTTCAGTACTTTGTATTAGAAACATATACTTCTTGTAGTTGAAAATAATACTATTTTTTTGTTTCACACACTATCCTCTTTTCTCGTGTAATTTTACTTGGTCAAACTCTAACCATAAACATGTTTGAATAGAGATTCGAATCTTCAATTTCATTATATTATGGAAACTAGTCTCTTTCACTAGACTTAACCTCCGTTGGTAAACTAAATAATTTTCAACTTAATGAACTTGAAATTAATATAAGGGGCTCAAATACAGAGAATGAACCAAAAAGCTGACCAGTTAGTGATTTTTTTATTCCTCCACTTGATGAATGGAAGCCTCCAGAGTTAGAGTCATTTATCAACTTCTGATTGCCAATGATAACACATGTTCCCCACACTACTGTTAGAAGTAAGATGGACGATCCAGCCAACAAACCCACACCAGTGGAAGCATATTCTTGCGCACTCTCCTTGTCACTTGAAAGTCCAGTAACTGAAAACAATCAACAACCACAAAAATAATTAGGATAAGTTATGTTCATAATAGTAATTAACATTATACTGCTATCTATGAAGATACGAATAGAACACAAATAACTAAATATCTAAGCAATTTAAACAGATACAGCTAAGTCTTCTGACAGGTTTAGAGACTTCAAAAGATGAAAAAAAAAGATACATGAAATTATGAAAATAAAAATTAGAGTAGAAACATACCAACAAGAATTAAGGACTCAGGAAGAGCACCCAGAATATCAAAGGCACTAGCGCCAAAAACACCAGGGCCAAGAATCTTGAAGATTTGCTCGCCCCCAAGAGCCAAGTATGACTCTCCATGGAACAACAAGTACTCATAAACCAAAATGAGGAAAAGATGGCCAAGTATGTTATTGGAACAAGGCAAGAACCCGTACATTTGCTTACAGTAAGAACCATCAGAAGAAGATTCAACCTTTTCATCTATAAGTTGCACATAAGACTCATGGGGTTGAACAGCATCAAGCCCATCAGAAACACTATGGCGAAGAGAACGGCACTCAACATGTAGTGCCACTAAAAAAACTATCAAAGTGAAGCATATAACTTTTGACATGGTTCTCATTTCATGTCACATGTGCTGAACTGAACTATAGAACTTGTAGTTGAGGAAATTCTTCAAGAGGTTTGTGTCCTTTCACTGTGCTTGCATGGTCAATTTCTGCTAGGATAGATTTGGGGTGGGATTCACGATCGTACAAGCATCACGTGCATTTTTTTTAATTCCATAAACGAGGACCGTTAAAATTATTATTCAAAAAAATCTTTGTTTTCATTGGTGCATCTTTGTTTAAATATCTATACCGAACTCGACTTTATCCCTTGGTGCTCTAACTCCATCCAAATATATAGAACATGTTCCTGTCCTAGTGTCATTTACACTTTGTATTATCTGTTAGCATATATTATCTCCGTCCCAGGATGAGGATAACTATACCTAGGACTTTATTACCAGACTTTTTTACTAAAATAATATTATTATATTATATATATACATAAGATAACATCTGATCAAATTATTTATTTAACTCAACCTCTCATAAAATTATTTACTAAATTGAACCTCTCATAAAATTATTTACTAAATTGAACTTCTTTTACTGTGTATTTGAAATTAGGTTGATCATTTATTTAACTCAACCTCTCATAAAATTATTTGCTAAACTGAACCTTTTTACTGTGTATTTGAAATTAGGTTGAACCTCTTTTACTGTTGTACTTGGAATTAGGTTTCCGTAAATCGAATTTCAACTTTAAACTTATCACTTTTTTTTAAATAAAAAATTTAAATAAAATATATAATTAAAAATAATAAAATTAATATTAAAAATAAAATTTTAATTTTAAAATTTAAATAATATTTATATAAAAAATAATAAAAATAATATATTATTTAAATATATATTAAATTATTTAAATATATTTAAATAATTATTAAAAATATTAAATAATAATTTTTTATTATATTTTTTATATATTTTTTTTATTTTTGAATAGGAAATTTAAAATTTATATATTTTTTATTGTATGAATTATTTAAGTTATAATTTTAGAAAAAATAGAATAAATAAAAATTTAATTTAGGTAATATATTAAAAAATTAAATATTATATTATAAAAATTTATGTAATAGTTTTATTTGATAAATTATACATATTATATTAAAGAATTCATGCTAAAATTAACTTTTTTTAAATAATAAAGTAAAAATATTATTTAATTAGTTAAAAATTATTATTATTAATATAAAATAAATTTAAAAATAAAAATAATAAAAATTGATAGAATTTAATGTATAATATTAAAAATAACATAATCATTGATAATAAAAATTGAAAAATAAAATTATTGACAATAATGTTAAGAAAATTTTAATCTCATAAGTGGTGTCCAGTTCCACAATGAGGACGACGTCTATTACGTTTTTTATTTCGTCGGTATGATTGTTCTTGAATTTCGGGAGAAATTTGTGAAGGGTTTTCTTCTTCATAAACCTCTATTCTTTTCACTCTAAAAAAATCTTTCTACCTTTATTATTTTTCTTTAATATCATGTTCTATAATTTTTATTTTGCTACTAATAACTTATTTTTAATTTTACTTTTAATATTTTATATATTAAATTTATCAATTTTTTTTCTAAAATTATAACTTAAATAATTCATATAATAAAAAAATATATAAATTTTAAATTTCCTATTCAAAAATAAAAAAATATAACAAAAAATGATTATTTAATATTTTTAATAATTATTTAAATATATTTAAATAATTTAATATATATTTAAATAATATATCATTTTTATTATTTTTATATAAATATTATTTAAATTTTAAAATTAAAATTTTATTATTTTTAATTATATATTTTATTTAATTTTTTATTTAAAAAAGTGGTAAGTTTTAAGTTAGAATTTAGTTTACAAGAAACCAAATTCCAAGTACAACCGTAAAAGAGGTTCGATTAAGTAAATAATTTTATGAGAAGTTCAGTTAAGTAAATAATTTCATCATTTCATCAGAGGTTATGTTACGTATATATATAATATAATAATATTATTTTAGTAAAAAAGTCTTTTTATGAATGTTTCTATATTTTAATTGATTAATATTATTTTTATAGTAATATTTTGCGATAATATAAGAAGAGAAGATTAAAAACAGAGTAAGATAAGTCAGAAACTAGAGAAAGATAGAGTAGCAAGATAAGTCAGAAACTAGAGAAAGATAGAGTAGTGTAAATCTCTCCTTATACATTGTTTTGTACAGAAGTTTTTGTTCATCATTTTTATATTAACTATTATACAAACATATATGAAAGTATTTCTAATTGATTAAAAATATATTATTATTATTATTATTATTATTATTATTATTATTATTATTATTATTATTATTAAAATCATACATTGTCTTCTATAATATGTTTGTTGAATTTCTTTTTTAATTGAAATAAAATTATTATAAAAATTTCCTATATGCATGTGGTTACTACAGCTATAGAGAATTCCTATATGCATGTGGTTAGTCTTAACCACTGTATTATTTTAATATATGAAGAAGGAAACAGAACATAAATGTATGCAATGTTTAAATAATTCTGAGCTAAATCCATCATTTCATATCTTCAAATAAAGTGAGCAAGAATATTAACTGCTATAATTTAAACAAATACATATAATGGATTAACTGTTATTCTCTTCTATTAACAACTATATCTTCTCAGTTTACTCTACAATTTTCTTTTGATTGAGGAGTGAAATGGAAGAAAAAAAAGGAATCCAAGAGTAAAAATTAAATGGAAATAATAGAATAGAAAAATGTTATTTTAATGTATACATTTAGGGAAAAAAAATTCTCTTCACTCATTTGGATGAACAAAAAGTATAGGTAAAATAAATATATTGTGTGAAAATATTGTATACTCATTAAAATAAAGTTTCCTTATTATTTTCTTAAAATAAAATTATTTATTATTTGTTGTTACTATATTTATATTATATCTAGTTTTAAAACAATCCCTTCTACAATGGGAGATAAAAAAAAAACATTTATTTCTAGTTCTACTCAATTAAATAATAAAAAAAGTTATATTTTTCTTTGTTCCCCTCCCCTCAATTCACTATTCTCATTTTTTCTCGGATAATTTTCACTTTATTCTCATTTTTTCTCGGATAATTTTCACTTTATTCCAGTCATAGTATTCTAATTTTATGTGCTAAGTCCACTTAAATATGGACTGCTTCAAATTAGAAGTTTCGTGTACCTTGTTAGTTTCATCTGAACAACTGTCAACTATGCTTATTGAGCTTTACTATAATGGAGCTTTCTTGTTTTCAATTGTACAAATTATTTTTTATATTGTTAACTAAAATAAAAATATATTGGTTTTAAACTTTAAAGATTATTTTTTAAGAAATATAGAATTAGCCAATGTAAAATTGTATATTTTCTAGATTAGTTTTACAAATACGCGGAAGTGAAAAGTGTTCTCATGCCATAGATTTATAGTCATGACCGAAAAACTCATTTTCTAGTTCAATTATTGTCACAGCTCAAAAGTATTATAGCGTGCACGTTTAATAGCGCTCATAAAAAAATAATTTCTAAAGTCATCAAAATAAAATTACTTTAATTCTTTTTTTTTTATTGAAATTCAATTTGATTTTGGAATTGACGTATTTGCGGATAGCGAAAAGTAGTGCAAATTAATACAATTTTTATTGAATTAATACATAAATGGATCATTCGACGGATAATTTATTCTTACAATCAGTGAGATAGGGATAAATTAGTGAGATGAGATGACACTTTTAGCCCGTCTGATTCATTAATACAATTGTTAAGAATGAGATGTTCTAAAAAATATTTATGTATTAAAAAAAATAAAAATATTATATATGTTTGTGTTATATTATTAAAACATATAAATATATTATAATATTGTAATTTACATTATAAATACTAATTAATTAAATATAAATTATTGAGTATTTTAAAGTATAAATATAATATTTTTTTAATTTATTAAATAAAATATTAATTAATGAATACAAATTTAAAAATTATTTATATAATTAAAGTTATATTTTAAAAAAATAATATAAGATAATTATATATATATATATATATATATATATATATTGATGGGTTGACTGACTACCTTTTCCACTAGTCATTTGATGAGATAGACAAGGGTCCTTGTATTTCGTTTTGATTACGGTGGATCAATTCATATACGTCTATTTTTTTTATGTGTTAAAGATAGAATGTGTCAAAATGGAGTAGGTTGACCAGTTTTATGTTTCTTATTTAAAATTTTATTTTTAAAATATAAAAAAAAAAAGAATATTTCAAAAATATTTTATTTGCATTGTATTGCATTTAATACTCCTTTGTAGAAAGAAAATTAGTTGACAAACATTATCTTGTTTTCTTAAATGTTATGTTGTTCACTATAATATTCTTAGGTTATTTTTTTATATGATGTGAAGATTATATAAAAAAGAAAATAAAGATTAAGTATAATATTTAAGTTATTTATTTTTTTAGAATGAACAAAATAAAATATATATTTTTCCTCTAAAGTATAAATACTTTAATTTTAATATTAAGTAGGTTAATTTCTGTATATTTGCATATGATTTTTTTTAATTAAAATAGGATTATATTTCATTCATGTAAATGTTAAAAGATAAAATGAAAATAGAAGAGAAGAAGAAAATACATAATTCAAAAGAGACAAAACGAAAATTGATTACAAAAATACTTTTATGTTTTTTATTTTGAGTAGTTTATGTCTTACTAAGCTTTGACCGTGGGAGGCATAAATTATGTTAGATGGTAGCATAACCAATATAAATTTACCACAAAGGGAATCCACGTTACCACAAAGGAGAACATAGATGAAGACAATGGTGATGACGGGGTGCTTCCAGTTGGCAACCCTAGTGGGAGAGGGGTTTCTGTGGGCAACGGAAATGATGGTGTAGACGGAAAAGATGGCAATACTGAGAGGGGGAAAGAGAGAAGGGTGAAGAAATTACGCATGAGAACGAGTAAGGCG